ACCATATTTTACCGTAGGTACTGTGTTTTGTTCTTTGTAGGCCTCATTCCGTTTTCGGTAAACAGTAGAATGATGTGCTTTACCGAAAAGCTCTATCTTGGTCTCATCTGTCCACAAGACGTTTTCCCAGAAGGACTTTTTGGCTTACTCAAGTACATTTTGGCAAACTGTAGTCTTGCTTTTTTATGTCTCTGTGTCAGCAGTGGGGTCCTCCTGGGTCTCCTGCCATAGCGTTTCATTTCATTTAAATGTCGACGGATAGTTCGCGCTGACACTGATGCTCCCTGAGCCTGCAGGACAGCTTGAATGTCTTTGGAACATGTTTGGGCTGCTTATCCACCATCCGGACTATTCTGCGTTGCAATCTTTCATCAATTTTCCTCATCCGTCCACGACCAGGGAGATTAGCTACAGTGCCATGGGTTGCAAACTTCTTGATAATGTTGCGCACTGTGGACAAAGGCAAATCTAGTTCTCTGGAGATGGACTTGTAACCTTGAGATTGTTGATATTTTGCCACAATTTTGGTTCTCAGGTCCTCAGACAGTTCTCGTCTCCTCTTTCTGTTGTCCATGCTTAGTGTGGCACAGACAGACACACAATGCAAAGGTTAAGTGAACGTCTCTCCTTTTTATCTGCTTTCAGGTGTGATTTCTATATTGCCCACACCTGTTACTTGCCCCAGGTGAGTTTACAGGAGCATCACATGCTTGTAACATTCTTATTTATCCGCAGTTGTGAAAGGGTGCCAATACTTTTGTCCAGCCCATTTTTGGAGGTTTGTGTGACATTATGTCGAATTTGCTTTCTTTCCTCCCTTTTTTTGTTTTGTCCCAATACACACAAAGGGAAATAAACATGTGTATAGCAAAACATGTGTTAATGCAATACGTTTCGTGAGAAATACATGATTTCCTGGAGAAATATCAAGGGTGCCAACAATTTCGGCCATGACTGTACTTCCATCCAAGAATACTTTTAGCTGAACACAACTCCTGACATCTCCCCGACTACTTTATGGGTAGCCCATAAGGCGGTCCTGCGAGGCTGCCTTATCTCTATGGTGTCATCTAGGAATAGGGAGTGTTGGAAACAAATTCAGAAACTTACTAGGGAATTAGAAACGCATTACAGAACTCATATAGGCAATCCATCTCTCCTGAACAGAACAATGATATCACAAAAGCACCTAGAATTGAATACCTTACTATCCCAGAAAACTGAAAAGGCTTTGCACTGGTCTAAGGCCTCTTTTTTATTATAAAGCAACTCAACATCTATTATGTTCGCAAGGAAACCTTACCATTCTATACGGCCCCCACATATCTATAAGTTACATATAAGAATGGTAACATCTCCTCTTTACCTCAGGAAGTACTGGGAATTTTTAAAGAATTTTATTCCACCCTATTAGCTCCCCCACAAACAACTTCCACTCCCCTAGATGGCTCGTGGCTTGATTCTTTATCCCTCCCTGCTCTCACACCCTCTCAGATATCTTCCCTCAATGTCCCATGTACTCTGGAGGAAATAACCCGTGCGATTGGCGCACTGCGAACTTCCACAGCACTGGGCCCAGATGGGTTCACGGCTAGTTATTATAAGCATTTTGCTCTTCGGTTAGCCCCTTTTTTGATGTCACTGTTCAATAATATTTTGCAGGGCGGCAAGTTTCCTGAGGAGATACTTTTGGCTAACATGTCCCTGTTACCTAAACTCCTAAAAGATCATCTTCTACCTCAAAACTATAGGAACAATGATCTTAAGATATTCAGCCGTGTTTTGACAGATAGATTGGCCCCTATTATCTCCTCTTTGGTCTCACCTGACCATTCGGTATTTATTCCAGACTTATCATGGACAATATGGGGTTTATTTACTAAACCTAGTTGACTCAGAATCTTGTCCACTTCTGCATAAAAACCAATCAGCTTCCAGGTTTTATTGCTGAAGCTTAACTGAACATGCTAAGGTTAGAAGCTGATTGGCTGCCATGCACAGGTGCCCAAGATTCTGAGTCAACCAGGTTTAGTAAATAAACCCCCATATGTCTCTCACTAAATGTTATTCAGGACGCTAACCTACATTCTAAAGAAGTGTTGTTGAGCCCAGAAAATGGGCTTCAATGATGAATTTCTGTCTGGTGTACATGCTCTGTATACCTCCCCCCAAACAAGAATTAGACTCCCAGGCTGAAACTCTGACTTTTTACACAGGGCAGAGGTACCTGTCAGGGCTGTCCCACTTTCACCCTTACTATTTGCGCTAGTTTTGGAACCCTTCGCTATAAGAACACACCCGGATATTTCAGGGTACCCATTTTTTGTCTCACAATTTAAATTATGTATGTATGCAGATGATGTTATGCTTTTCTTTACTAGCATGTTAGAATCATTGCCCAATTTATGCACGTTATTGAATGATTTTGCATCCATATCAGGTCTCACTGTAAATTTTACTAAATCAGTTGTCTCCGTAGCTCTTTCCCATTTTGTTGGGCCACAGACTGGATCTCATATCTAGGTATTTTTTTACACCCAGCTACTTGGGACTATTTGCAGCTAATTACCCACCATGTGTGTCACGCCTTTTGGCGAAATTACTTTATTTATTCCGAGCACTCCCAATCTCGGTCTCAAAAACATTCCTTGATCGTTTTCAACGGATGATTAATAATTTTATGTGGCGTAATACACGTCCTCGTTGTACTTTATCCATCCTATATCAGTCGCAATGGGTGGGTGGCCTCGGACTCCCCAATTTTTGGCTATATTACCTGTCGGCTTGCTTTACACAACTATCGCAATGGGCGACTATTAACTCCCAGGTTCCTTGGATCAGATTTGAATCTCAATCTATACGCCCGTTCTATCTACCTGGTCTATTATGGACAAAAATTCCCCCTCGCTCATTGTTGACCCATAATTCCATTGTTGCCCACTCACCGAAGCTTTGGTCTCATTATAAACTTAAATTAAATCTTGTCTCACCAGGTTCATCGTTTTTGGAGACCCGAATTTCATCACTGCATTTTCATCTCCACAGGCATTCCGCTGGAGGTACTATTGATCCTTTATCTGATTATCTGATTTTCAAAGAGGAGGGTCTTATATCACTTTTGAGACATTGCGCACACTTTTCGATATTCCACTTCGCAAATACTATCGTTATCGGCAAATAAGAAATTTTTTCAATTCACATTTTGGTTTGATACCTTCGTCCCCGGTTACATTTTTTGAACATATTAGCCGTGATTCTTCTAGGGGTAGGGGTCTTATTTCAGATTTGTATCACCTTTTTTCGTTAACTATCTTTCCCTCACCCCTGTCTGTATAGACAGAAATGGGCGGCTGATAGTGGTGCCACCTTTTCTGAAGTGGACTGGAAGTCCATGGTGGATAACATATGTAAGAGCTCTAGATCTCTTTCTGTCCATGAGACGGCCCTTAAAGTATTAACCCGTTGGTATTATACCCCTCTAGACTGCACGTCATGTTTCCAGGGATGTCCCACCTTTGTTTCCGGGGTTGTGGACTTGCTGGTACCCTTGTGCATATATTTTGGGCCTGTCCAAGCCTTTCATTGGTATGGTGCAAAATCTCTGAAGTGGCCTCTGCTGTGGCAGATGCGCCGGTGCATTTGTCTATGTAGTCTTGCCTACTGGGTGCCCATATCTCGGGAATACAGACTGAGGCTATGAGGCTAATTCACACCTTCTGTATGTCTACCTCTGGGCCGTGACCAGAGGTGTGTGGCTGACGCAGGGAAACGCAGACCTCAGATATGTTATAAACAATATAATTTATTAACACTAACAATACAAACATAAACGCAGTGCAATACTAAAACATAATACAGTGCAACCAAACCAAACCAAACCAACCACCCACAGATAACAGTACATACAAGCAAGCGTCGTCAGGCAGGCCGGGTCAATATCAATAGGGCAGGTAGGTACAGGGGGAGCAAGCGGAAATTGGTCGGGGTCACAGGCCAGGTTCAGCAGGTAGCAAGCAGCGTAGTACAGAGGGTCAGGCAGAGGGATGGTCAGGGTCACAAGCCAGGGATCAGAACAGGTAGCAAGCAGCGTGGTACAGAGGGTCAGGCAGAGGGATGGTCAGGAGCGAGCCGGGATCAGAGCAGGAGAAGTCAGCAGCGGTTCAGAAACAGGATGCAGGACAGAAACAGGATACAGGGCCCAGGACAAACACAACACCAAGGCCGAGTCTGTGGGTCTGGCCATCCCTTAAATACCCCAGCATAATCAGTTCCAGGTGTTAGCTGGCTGCAAAGTTGAGTCTCTGATTGCTGGGAGCATCCGCTGGCCAGCCCTGGTACTGCAGATCAAAAGGCAGGTGAGTCCCACCATTGCTGGCCAGTCCATTCCTGACAGTACCCCCCCCCTCAAGGAGCGGCCTCAGGACGCTCCAAACAGTCCTAGCTGGGAAAAATGTTCCACCGCCCGGGTCTGGTAACTGGCGGGATATCAAAGACTGGCACACCGGGCAGGACTCCGGGCAGCGGTACACCGGGCAGAGGCACATCGGGCTGGACTCCGGGCAGAGGCACACCGGGCAGAGGCACACCACTCCGGGCAGAGGCACACGGGCTGGACTCCGGGCAGAGGCACACCGGGCTGGACTCCGGGCAGAGGCACACCGGGCAGAGGCACATCGGGCTGGACTCCGGGCAGAGGCACATCGGGCTGGACTCCGGGCAGAGGCACATCGGGCTGGACTCCGGGCAGAGGCACATCGGGCTGGACTCCGGGCAGAGGCACATCGGGCTGGACTCCGGGCAGAGGCACATCGGGCTGGACTCTGGGCAGAGGCACACTGGGCAGAGGCACATCGGGGGCGGGCAGAGGCACATCGGGCTGGACTCCGGGCAGAGGCACATCGGGCTGGACTCCGGGCAGAGGCACATCGGGCTGGACTCCGGGCAGAGGCACATCGGGCTGGACTCCGGGCAGAGGCACATCGGGCAGGACTCCGGGCAGAGGCACATCGGGCAGGACTCCGGGCAGAGGCACATCGGGCCCTACCAGGCGAAGCAGCAGCAGGCCACCAGGTGGAGAGGCAGGCACCGGGCCCCCGGGCGGAGCGGCAGGCACCGGGCCCCCGGGCGGGGCGGCAGGCAGGCCGGGGCCCCCGGGCGGGGCGGCAGGCACCGGGCCCCCGGGCGGGGCGACAGGCACCGGGCCCCCGGGCGGGGCGACAGGCCTCGGGCCCCCGGGCGGGGCGACAGGCCTCGGGCCCCCGGGCGGAGCGGCGGGCGCTGGACCCCCAGGCGGAACTACAGGTCTCGGGCCCTCAGGCGAAGCGGCGGGTGCCGGACCCCCAGATGGAGCGACAGGTCTCGGGCCCTCAGGCGGAGCGGCGGGTCTCGGACCCCCGGATGGAGCGACAGGTCTCGGGCCCCCAGACGAAGCGGCGGGCACCGAGTCACCAGGCACGACAGTGGGCACCGAGTCGTCTGGCAAGACTGCGCGGCACCGAGTCAACTGGCAGGAACAGCGGGCATCGAGTCAACTGGCGGAACTGCGGGCACCGAGTCGTCTGGGCAAGACTGGCAAGCGGGCACCGAGTCGTCTGGCAAGACTGCGGGCACCGAGTCGTCTGGCAAGACTGCGGGCACCGAGTCAACTGGCGGAACAGCGGGCATCGAGTCAACTGGCAGACTGGCGGGCACTGCGGGCTGCGGGCAGAGTCGTCTGGCAAGACTGCGGGCACCGAGTCGTCTGGCAAGACTGCGGGCACCGAGTCGCCTGGCAAGACTGCGGGCACCGAGTCGTCTGGCAAGACTGCGGGCACCGAGTCGTCTGGCAAGACTCTGGCAACCGGGCACCGAGTCGTCTGGCAAGAACAGCGGGCACCGAGTCGTCTGGCAAGACAGTGGGCTCCGAGTCAACAGGCACGACAGTGGGCACCGGGTCATCAGGTATCGGATTGTCTGGCTCGACAGCGGGCATCGGGTCACCAGGTATGACAGCGGGCACTGGGTCACCAGGCATCAGGTCATTTGGCTTGCCAGCGGGCACCGCGTCATCTGGCAAGGCAGTGGGCACCGGGTCACCAGGTATGACAGCGGGCTCTGAGTCAATTGGCACGACAGCGGGCACTGGATCAGGTACCGGATCATCTGGATCAACAGCGGGCATCGAGTCAACTGGCCTAATAGGATCGTCGGGCTGGATCAGTTTCATCATGCTGAGTAGCGGCATCAGGCTGAATGCAGGCATCAGGCTGAGTAGAGGCTTCAGGCTGAGTAGAGGCTTCAGGCTGAGAGAGGCTTCAGGCTGAGAGGCTTCAGGCTGAAGAGAGGCATCAGGCTGAAGAGAGGCATCAGGCTGAAGAGAGGCATCAGGCTGAGAGAGGCATCAGGCTAGAGTCACGGAAGGCAGGAGTCACGGAAGGCAGGTTCACCGGTTTGGATACTGGCAGGATGGTATTGGTTGGAAAGAATTTTCGCTTTTTTCTGGTTTTAACTACTGGAGCACTGCAAGTAAACGCAGGTCTGCAAACGAATGGAGCAGCTGGAGACAGAGAAAAACTGGAGGATGGAACAGGAGAGGGAGCAGTTGCTACAGAGGGCTTTTTTACAGGGTTAAAGGCAGGATAGGTGCAGCGAGTGGGAACAGGGTACTGACATGCGGTAGATAGCCAAGTATACTGGGCTGTAACTGGAGGAGCTGGTGGGAATACAGGAGTAGAGTTAGAAGCAGGACTGGGTTTTTGTAAGCTGACTGAGGCTGGGTGCAACAAGTCTGTCCATGTCTGCAGTATGGGTTGAACAAAGCTGAGCTTACACAAAGCCTGTCTGGTCAATGACTGCACTGCGTTTATACAATCTCTTAGTGTCTGTGGTGAACATGTGGAATAACGCTCCAGAAAGTAACCCACATCATCCTCTAATAACCACACCAGGGACTCTACCTGGTCTGCACTAAATGGTGGCAAAAATTCATCCCTGCATTCGGGGGAACCAGATGAAACCAACTCAGCACAAACCTCAATCAAAGGCTGCACCTCAGAGAACTCTGTGCCCTGATCTACTAGAACATGAGCGAGCCGTATACATTCTAGTAGTTGATCCCTGGGATACTCCTTCAGAGTTTGATAAGCATACTCCCTGTCATCAAACACTAGCAGATATAAATACACAACCTCATCCAGATCCATCCTTCCCAGCAACAAGCCAAGATGGCTTCCCTGTGCAGCCACTTCTGGTCAGGATTGGCCTTGGTGTAATGTCAGGGCTCCCAGGTGTGACCAGAGGTGTGTGGCTGACGCAGGGAAACGCAGACCTCAGATATGTTATAAACAATATAATTTATTAACACTAACAATACAAACATAAACGCAGTGCAATACTAAAACATAATACAGTGCAACCAAACCAAACCAAACCAACCACCCACAGATAACAGTACATACAAGCAAGCGTCGTCAGGCAGGCCGGGTCAATATCAATAGGGCAGGTAGGTACAGGGGGAGCAAGCGGAGATTGGTCGGGGTCACAGGCCAGGTTCAGCAGGTAGCAAGCAGCGTAGTACAGAGGGTCAGGCAGAGGGATGGTCAGGGTCACAAGCCAGGGATCAGAACAGGTAGCAAGCAGCGTGGTACAGAGGGTCAGGCAGAGGGATGGTCAGGAGCGAGCCGGGATCAGAGCAGGAGAAGTCAGCAGCGGTTCAGAAACAGGATGCAGGACAGAAACAGGATACAGGGCCCAGGACAAACACAACACCAAGGCAGAGTCTGTGGGTCTGGCCATCCCTTAAATACCCCAGCATAATCAGTTCCAGGTGTTAGCTGGCTGCAAAGTTGAGTCTCTGATTGCTGGGAGCATCCGCTGGCCAGCCCTGGTACTGCAGATCAAAAGGCAGGTGAGTCCCACCATTGCTGGCCAGTCCATTCCTGACAATTTTTTTAGCTAATTCAAGACATCTTTCCAAACTTGAAATCGAAATGCATCAACCCTTATATGCAACACTGTGTTAACCTTTGGCTATTGTAACCGTTATCATGTAACATATGTATATGGGGTGGTCTTGACATAACAGATAGCATTGGGCTAATAACAGCCACATAAATTATTAGCTGAAATATTTTTATGGAGGTTTCTTTAATGCAACGCAGTCCTAAAGTTTGGCTATTGTAACAGTTATTCTGTAACATATGCATGTGGGGTGGTCTTGACATAACAGATCACATTGGGACAATTACAGTCACATAAATGTATCGGATGAAATGTTTTTATGATGGTTTTGTTTACTCTAATGTTGCATAAAAAAATTTTTTTGGATACTTTTAAATATTTGTGTTCAGTTGGTACCTTAAAAACCACAGTCTTTTTCTTTCTAAGATAACCAATAACACACAGGGCCATTGTCCGGTTGTCCTCATGTGGAAAACATTTGGCAGTGACTTCAAGACAACAAATTCTATGCCAAGTTGGAGTAATGCCTCTTCAAACAAACTCAGATGCCCTTGCATGTCTTAATTATCATGGATCAAGGTCTTCATATGGATCCAACCAAACTAAAGTATGAACTAAATCGGACTGGCCTAATGGCAGGGTAACGCACTGGCTGACGACAACCACCACCAACAGACCGAAGTCCCTCAGGGCACGGAGTCTAAGTCCCAGGCTGCCCTTCACCAGGGCCCCTGATGGTGGGGATGGACTTGACGCAGCCAGGAACCAGGTCGCGGCCCCGAGACACCCCGGCTGCGGTAATGGCCATCGACAATGGCGTGTAGCTGGTGAGAATGACAATAGTGTAGTCAGGCAGGCCGGGTCGACAACAACGGGACAAAACGGTACAGAACAGTAGACAGAGAATCACAGGTCACGGGCCGGGTTCAGCAACGGAAGGTCAGATCGAAGGAAAACACAGAGAATGGTCTTAGTCACAAGCCGAGTCAGATACCAGAAGAGTCACGAGCGTATACACAGAGCTGTAGCAAGACAAAGACACAAGACACAAGTGCAAAGAGCATGTGCGGATCACAGGCTTATATGTACTCAGCCACACCCCTCTGGGGGATGGACCTCAGAGACCTGAAGGCATAAAAGATTCCCACCACGCTCAGCAGAAATCCAAGATGGATGCCAGCACATGGAGTAACATAACCCTGGGAAAAGGTAGGACCTTGACAGAAACAGAGATAACTACACTATTAATATTGAGAATTGTGAATTTCTGGCAATTAAACTGCAAGAATGTTCAAACCATTTTGAGGGTTCCTCACACTGAATCATTATACTTTCATATATTATTCAAAAAAATATTGAATATCTTCAATTCTTCAAAGTCCACTTTTGGAAAGCTCTGGCCAGTCCTTTGGAATCTCATTGAACTTTTCTTCTGCTTTTCATTTGCAGTTTAAATAGTGAAATTGAAGGATCAGTCAAATCACTGAATGATAACACTGTTCAACAGGTAAAAAGTTTTGGGCATAAAATTAGCTAATCTTACATAATTTTGGGGTGCTGAAAACGAAAATGACCCTAAAAAATGTTGATTGGCTCTAGTTTCCATGATATATTCACCCATCTAATGACGTAAGCCATTCAAAATTATGATGCAACTTCAGCTGCATATTGCGCAATTGATACTGGTGACCAATAGAAAATTGCATGTATACTGAGATGATGCAATATTAGCCTTTAATTGCATCACTTCACTGCATAAAAGCTGCAGTATCTGTAGCTGATTGTAGTTCGTCTTTACATTTCGTTTTATGCTTATATAGGCTACTCAGTAATGCCTCGAACTTGTGTGAATAAACAAGATAATTTCTGCTATATCTGTGGTGAAATAACTTTTATCTCACAAAAAAGGAGGATAACAGGAATGATTAAGAAAGCCTACAACTTGTATTTTGGCTGCAAGATAGGAGACCAGGACAAGAGCTGGGCACCACATATATGCTGCAATTCTTGTGGGACGGCACTGGAGCAATGGTTGAATGGAAAAAAGGCATCTATGCCTTTCGCTGTGCCAATGATTTGGAGAGAGCCAACAGATCATGTTAGTAATTGTTACTTTTGTATGGTGCCTCCAATTGTAAAAGGGCTAAATAAGAAGAAAAAGTTATCTGTGCACTATCCAAATATTCCATCGGCAATACGTCCAGTTCCTCATGGAGAGGGGCTACCAATTCCTAAAGCACCAGAATCCTTCGTGGTTGAGTCAAGTGAGGAAGAACCTGAAGCGTGTAGTCACGTGCAGTTGTAAGAGATAGCCCTTTCCTCGAATACAAGAGAAAAGCCAAGAGAAGCAAAACCGACACAAACTGAAGACAAAACTAGTGAGAATCCTAAGTATTAAAATGATTCAACTTAGCTTATGGCTATAATTTTTCTTGGTAATCCTATGCAATATATTATGCCATTTAGGCTTTGTTATGTAGTCAATATCACTTGCTTTATATTTGTGGAAAGACATCTATCTATATAATTATTGTGCATTATGTAGTCATTACGCCTATAGTAAAAACTTTCCGTTTACAGAAAAACTAGAACCAATTGACAAATTTCATTGTTATATTTGAACTCAGAATGTGAAATTCATTAAGAAATGGATCCTTTTGTTTCCAAAACTGGCAAAAAATAAAAATTTGTTGAACAGTGTAACTTATCTGACAGATAAGTTTGAATGTTCTTCTATCTATCAAGTGGTGTCTGGTTATTGGCATCTTTGTTTCCATGATGGCAGTTGCGGCATATGTGAATGTGGGTGTACTATGTGACTCCATCCCCACTGATAAAGTCCCGCCCAGGACGTAACGCATATGGGAGGAGGAGTAACGCTCACTTATGTTACCTGCGGCTATCTTGCTGATTACACAAGTTGTTTGTTTCTTGAGCGCTGTTCTTTGCACTTAGATATAAGTGCCAGATTTCTAAGTGCAATTCTATTCTTTCTTGAGTAAAGAAATAAATTTTAGCAGAGAGCACTATTTGTCCCTCTCTTGATTGTATTTATTCGGTACATTCTGATGCATTTGAGGAACTATATGACTGGACCAGTGGTGTTGCCTTTTCAAGTAAATACCCTTGATGGGAAAAGTGCTATATGACCATCCTGTTAGCTCAGGGGTCATATCTATAAGGTGAACAGCCATGCTTATATTTGGTGACGGGATCAATCACCTTTAACACCAGAATTATTACTTTATCACTTGTCTGACACATTGTGATCTGTCCATATGTGCAGGTGGTCTGGTTTCATATATGGACTTTTCTATATGCACTTTGCTATTATAATATTTTTGCATGTATTATTAGCACTTTATTATATTGCGCTGCACTGTCTATGTATTTTTTTTTATAAAATCCTGTAAGGTGACAGGTTGAGGAGGGTACAAAAAACAAAGTGACTTTCTACATTTTAGTGACATGGTTGATAATGTACATTGAGATATTAGGTGGCCCTCTTTGCAGAGCCACTGAATCTACTGTGGTAGTCTTACTGTATATAATGTAGGCAATATTAATTCTTGACCAATGCTCCATTAAACGGTTATTTCCTTTTTATAAAGAGAAAAATAACACTGTGTTTTCATGATATGTCACCACTGTGTGAGAAAGGGTGGGCAGTGTAATGTAAGAAGAAGACAGGGTTTGGGTCTGTGTCATTTTTCACTGAGAGGCCCATTTAAAAAACTCCAGTATTTATTTATCTCAGTTGTACCATTGATTAACCACAAGCCTACAGGGCACTTAAGCCCCCTTCCTGCCCAGGCCAATTTCCAGCTTTCAGCGCTGTCACACTTTGAATGACAATTGCGCGGTCATATGAAATTTTTATCATTTTTTTGAGACAGATAGAGCTTTATTTTGGTGGTATTTAATCAACTCTGGGTTTTTTATTTTTTCTTAGACAAACCAAAAACCACTGAAAATTTTGAAAAAAAAAGTTTTTTCTTAGTTTTTATTATAAAATTTTGTAAATAAGTGATTTTTCGCCTTCACTGATATGCGCTAATGAGGCTGCAGTGATGGGCACTGATAGGCTGCACTGATGGACGCTGATACGTGGCACTGATGGGCACTGATGAGGAGGCACTGGTAGGTGGCACTGATCGGCATTGACAGGCATCACTGATGGGCACTGAAAGGCAGCACTGATATATGGCACTGATTTATGGCACTGATAGGTGGCACTGACTGGCACTGTTAGGTGGCACTGACTGGCACTGTTAGGCGGCACTGACTGGCACTGTTAGGCAGCACTGACTGGCAATGATAGGTGGCACTGATGGGCATTGATAGGCGGCACTGATGCACACTGATAGGCGGCACTGATTGGCAGCCCTGTTAGGTGGCACTGATTGGCATTGATAGGTGGTGTGACAGGTGCGGCGTCAGACCCCTGACCTTCTGACCAAACTCGTGACCAAAGGGCTAGCCAATCTAACACCGCGATGTCATGTGCGTACCAATGCCATGCCCAGTTGTACCCTGCACACCAAGTTTCCAGCTAATTGGACCACAATCAATGTACCTGCAGCCTGGGAGCGTTTGCTACTGGGTCAGGTTAATTACGCAATTAACCCTTCACACTGCCACCACCTCCTTTTTATACAGAGAAAGAGGAAACTCATTAATACACTAGGATGATTGGTTAATCGTTGGTATACCGCTATCTCCACAGACAGGTTATAACGAGGGTTAAACACTCATAGTAGCGCTCTTCAGCGGCAGGGATTCGTAAGTTACATTCAAGCGCTATAGAAACAGTTCAACACTTTCAGAAAGTAAGGTTTATTACTAAAAGGTCAAAATGGTGCAGTAGAAATATTTACAGAAACAAGATGTAACCATATATATAAATATACAGAGAACAACAGCACAGCAACAAGATAACAGAAAGAAGTTTAGGTAAATAAGTACTTGCCAATCAGCCTTGGATTAAGCAGATTCCAGTCTTATGAGCACAAGGATGCTTTCTGTGTCTCGACTGCTAGTTTTGTTGGTTCATCGCAGGAGACTTTGCTTTCTCTCTCTCTGCTAGATGTTAAAACGCAGACGGTCCTCACTTCTCTGTCTACACACAAAACATAACAGCCTCTTTCCTACCCAAAATCAACAGGGTGTCTCCTTACAACAGACAAGCCAATTACCTTATCAGGCAAAGAATTGTTAGGCAGGGGTCTCAGCATCATACACTGATTGCATTCCTGAGGGAGGGGGAAATGAGGGGATAACATTAAGACTTCTTAACACAGTGAGGGCCGTGCCTGGCTCTTGTATGCACGATTGTGACAGTTGGCACTGACTGGCACTGATGGGTGACACTGAAAGGCAGCTCAGATGGGCACTGATATGTGGCATTGATGTGCACTGGTAGGCACTGATATGTGGCATTGATGTGGCACTGATGGGCACTGGCACGTGGCACTGATGAGCACTGACAGCTGGCACTGATGGACACTGACAGCTGGCACTTCTGGGCCACACGGATCTTTTTGGACC